GCCTTTGATAAGGTGATGACTATGTCTGGCTGTCTTGGGGAGAGAGGAGGAGACTCTCAAATTTAGGCCAAATGCAGAATAACTAACGACCACATTGTGGACCTTCTGAGCCGCAGCTTTCTCTTTAGGAACTGAGGAAGTTAAACTAGCTGACCTCTAAAAATTCCCGTCTGGCTCCCAAACTCTGATTGTATAACTGAGATCCTTTACCAGTCTCAGCCGCCAAAAGTGTGCTACAGCGCCCCCTAGTGTCCGCAGGCAGAGGGTTTCCCCCCACGCCCACTGGCCGCTCTCCAGTCCCTTCCCTGATCCACTCTTCCTTTCTTCCGTAGAACTCAGCCGTTTCTAAATTACTAAATCTGATGGTGTCTTTGTTGAATGTAAGCCCCATAAGGGCAGGGATTTTTTTTCCCTGTTTTGTTTACTGATGTATCCTGACACACACCAGATATTTAAAACTCATTTGCTAAACTCAAAGTGTTGAACCTTGAGGCATCCTCTGCCAAAATTATTCTTTACATAATTCCCTGTTACTTTAATTCACTTTGTATGTTATTATCTTGCTCCTCAGTTGCTTTTTTAAATATAATTTTTAAAAATGTTTTAAAGAAGATTTTATTTATTTGACAGAGAGAGAGAGAGCAAGCAGCAGAGGGAAAGGGAGAAGCAGACTCCCCGCTGAGCAGGGAGCCTGATGTGGGACTTGATCCCAGGACCCCGGGATCATGAACTGAGCCAAAGACAGGTGCTTAACTGACTGAGCCACCCAGGTGCCCTGTTTCTTTTTTGTTTGTTTGTTTAAGATTTTATTATTTTTAGGGGCCTGGGTGGCTCAATCGTTAAGCGTCTGCCTTCGGCTCAGGTCATGATCCCAGGGTCCTGGGATCGAGTCCCACGTCAGGCTCCCTGCTTGGCAGGAAGCCTGCTTCTCCCTCTCCCGCTCCCCCTGCCTGTGTTCCTGCTCTCGCTATGTCTCTGTCAAATAAATAAATAAATAAATAAATAAATAAATAAATAAATAAATAAAGATTTTATTATTTTTAAGTAATCTCTACTCCCAATGTGGGGCTCAAACTGACAACCCCGAGGTCAAGAGTCTCATGCTCCACCAACTGAGCCAGCCAGGTTGTTTGTTTTTTTCTTTTTTAAAGATTTATTTATTTGTTTGTTTGTTTATTTATTTTTTTTAGAAAGAAAGAGGGCAAGCACGACTGGGAGAGGCAGAGGGAGAGGGAGAGAGAATCTCAAGCAGACTGTGCTCTGACCTTGGAACCCCACACAGGGTTCGATCTCACGACCCTGAGATCATGACCTGAGCTGAAACCAAGAGTCAGATGCTTAACAATTTTGCCACCCAGGCTGTTTCTTAATTGCCTATATGGTGGGCAGAAAAATGGCCCCTGAAACTTGTCCACAAGCTAATCCCCAGAACCTCTGAATATGTTACTTTGCAGGTGATGACATTAAGGATCCTGCGGTGGGGAGATTATCCTGGATTATCTGGGTGAGCCCAGTGGAATCACTAGTCCTTCAGAGAAGGAGGCAAGGGGGTCAGAGTCCGAACAACAAGATATAACATGAAATCAAGGCTAGAGTGAGGAGTGCCCCAGCCAAGGCATGCAGATGGTTCCAGAAGCTGGAAAAAGCGAGGAAATGGCTCCCCCCTGCAGCCTCCAGAGGAAATGCAGTCTTGCATGCACCTTGATTTTATCCCCACAAGAGCTCCTTCAGACTTCTGACCTCCAGAACTGCAAGATGGTAAAGCTGTGTTGTTTTAAGCCACCAAAGTTATGGTAACTTCTCACAGCAGCAATAAGAAACTATTCACTAGTAAAAGAAACCTTCCCAAGAGCACCTCTACATACAAACTGATTCTCAAAGAGTGCCTTTAAAGTCATTTGTAAATCCAAAGTGACACCGTATTGTTCAAAAGACCAGAGACATTTCATTCAGTTTCAAACAGGGTCAGCAAGTTTATGCTGTGGCCAGAGCCTCCTTCAGCGAGAAAGTTTCTAAAGTCAGCAGCGTTGGTAATTTTTCAAGACAGAATTGGAGCCTTTCCTCTATATGTCATTAAAAAAAAGACTCTTCACCTCTGAACCCATTAAATAGAGACACAGAGCACTTATCACTACCTCATATTATGTTATGCATTGATTTGCTTATTGCTTGCCATTACTGTTATTTTATTTGTTCACAGTACGTTACTTACCATTAGGATGGAAGCCCCATGAGGATGGGAACTGAGTTTACCTTGTCTGCTGCTGTATTTTCAATGCCTAAAATGATACCTAAGGGGCGCCTGGGTGGCTCAGTCGTTAAGCATCTGCCTTCAGCTCAGGTCATGATCCCAGGGTCCTGGGATCGAGCCCCGCATCGGGCTCCCTGCTCCGCGGGAAGCCCGCTTCTCCCTCTCCCACTCCCCCTGCTATGTTCCCTCTCTCGCTGTGTCTCTCTGTCAAATAAATAAATAAAATCTTTAAAAAAAATAAAATAAAATAAAACGATACCTAAGACACAGTAGATGCCAAATAAATATTTGTGGAATCTGCTTGAGGTTCCATCTCTCTCCCTCTGCCCCTCCCCCACTCTCTTTTTCTCTCCCTCATTCTCTTTCTTAAATAAATAAATAAAATCTTTAAAAAAAATAAAATAAAATAAAACGATACCTAAGACACAGTAGATGCCAAATAAATATTTGTGGAATCTGCTTGAGGTTCCATCTCTCTCCCTCTGCCCCTCCCCCACTCTCTTTTTCTCTCCCTCATTCTCTTTCTTAAAAAATAAATAAAATCTTTAAAAAAAAATTTTTTTTTTGAGGGTCACCTGGCTGGTTCAGTTGGTAGAGCATGAGATTCTGGATCTCAGGGTCCTGATTTCAGAGCTTTCTTTCTTTCTTTCTTTTTTAAGATTTACTTATTTATTTATTTGAGAGAGAGAGCGAGTAGGAGGGAGAGGAAGAGAAAATCTGAGGCAGACTCCGTGTTGAGTGCAGAGCCTGACTCAGAGCTCAATCGCATGACCCTGAGATCATGACCTGAGCTGAAACCAAGAGTCCCAGGCTTAACTGACTTCGACACTCAGGCGCCCCTAGCAGGCGTAGAGCCTTCTTAAAAAAAATGGTTAAAATTTTTTTGTAATCATGTGTATGTATTACTTATTCAAAACACAAAATTTGAATCATATGAACAATACGGTGAAAAGAAGAAACAAGAAACCACAGTCTAGGGGCACCTGGGTGGTGCAGTGATTGGACTCTTGGCTTCAGCTCAGGTCGTAATATCAGGGTCATGAGATCGAGATCTGCTGAGCGAGGAGCCCGGTTAGGACTTTTCCTCTCTTTCTGCCCCTCCCTCCCTCCCCCACACACACACATACACACACACATACACTCTCTCTCTCTCTCTCTAATAAATCAATCTTTAAAAAAAAGGAAACAAAGAAACCACAGTCTGACCTTCATGAAGCTGTGGATCCCTAACTGGGCCTGGCACCCTGCACCATCTTGGTGTGTGAAGAGTGGGATACTGTAGACACTTTGGCATGCCCATGGCCACTGAATTCTCTGTTTCATATCCCATATTGCATTAAAAACTCCCCAAGTCCCAGCTGCTGTGCAGAGTGAGGGCCTCGCAACTTGCATGGGTGACAATCTTTGCAGGCTCTGTGGACTCGTGATGTTGAACCATATAATGCAGGCTGGTTGGCTAAGACCCTCTGGGTTTTGTGGAATAATCTTTAATGCACCAGACAAGAAGATTGTTAACCAGCCTTATTACTGACAATTTCCTATTACCGTGGTAGGCCAGGCAGATGATTTGAAGGATTATCCGGGTGCTGACAAATCCCCCGGGCCCTGACAATCTCGTTGACAAAAGAATCAAATCTGTTTATTGCTGATAATAGATGCCATGCCCTCAGGTTTGGTTGTAGGTAACATGTGCATCGCTTTTTATTTTTTCTTTTAGCAATAGGAGCCAAACTTGGATTCATCCTGATAAACTAGGCATTTGGGACTTTATATGATCTAATTGCTCTGAGCTGTTCCTTAATCCCCATTTGCTAAACCTCTGCACCCGTACCCACAATGGTAAAACTGGCCTTGATCCAGGATGGCAAAATGGTCCATCTAACAAACTGAACCATTTGTTCATAATTGTTCATGTGGCTGAGGTTCCCTAGTCACTCTTCTTGTTTTTATTTGTTGTTCTAAGACTTAGAACAAAAGGACAAAGCAAATCTTGAACTTGTTGCGGTGATAAGCACAAATCCCTGAATGCGAAGCCCATTGCTTCATTCCCGGCTCCAGCTCCCGTAGCGAACACTCAGCAGGTTCTGAAAACCAGTTGTGGGATTGCCTTGTTCATCAACTATCATAATGTCAGTCCTCAGATGTCTAAATTTCAACAGGCTACATTTGGAAACACAAAGAGAGATTAATTTTAATCACATCTATAATTCCTTTTGATTTATAAGAAGTAAAATGCCATCTGCCAAGTTCTAAACCTATTCATATGGTATTTAATCTTATCCATAATATCACAATGAATGTGATTATTTTTTAAAATATTGCTGCACGAGAAACATTTCTAAGCATAAGTTAATGTCTCGCTTGGCAAGATCTGCCTGGCCCTTGATCTAGCAACAGCTCCCCTATGCTTCATATGTGGCGGGTGAAATGCTGATATGCAAGCCCAGACTCAGAGGTGACTCTGGGTGTATCTCTCCCGTGCACAGCGTGCTTCTCTAGGGGCGTGTTTGGACCAGCCTGGTGAGGCAGGCAGTCGGTGGGATCCAAACTCGTCCGGTCCCAATCTGATTTTCTGCCTAATGAGACAATAAAGCTTGCCACGGGATTGCAGCCTTCCAACAAGCTCCCTGTAGAAGGGTTTGTCATCAGTTTCCTTAAAGTCAGAGGACTTTCAGAATTCCTCAGGCGAAAGGTCAAATTATTAAATATTTATTCTCTTTTTAAAAAAAAATCCCATTTAGTACTATATAGGTAATGATATATGTTCGTTAGAAACAAATTTAGATATATGCAAACAAGTAAATAGGCATGGAGAGAAAGTTAACACACAAAGGTAATCGTTAATATTCTGGTATCTTCTTTATAGACATGTTCTTACACATTTTTCTGTGTAATGTGTGAATGTATATCTCTTTTTCACTCTAGATTGACAGATATAGATACACGCACTCATATATATATTTAAAAAATCATATATATATGTATATATATGTTTTGAAACTTGCTCTTTTCCTCTCAAAAATTATTGAAGCATATATTTTAGGTAATATTGTGAAACTCCAACTCATTTGACATTATTCAGACTTTGGTGGAAAAGAAAAGAAACAAAACACATATGTAAAGGTACTAAAGACAAATCCAGAGAAAATCCCTATGTAAGCTGTGGAAATGAGTCAGAGTATTTGGAAATTAGTTTCTTCTAGTTCAACCTTTTTAACTCTGGCAAGCTTTGAAAAAGATTTTTCACACCATAATTCTTTTATGAGAACATGGCTGGGAAATTCTCCTATTGTCATGCAGTCCTAAACTTAAAGTTTGCCAGATCTAGTTTTTTCTTCTTCTTTTCCTTCTTCTTCTTCTTCTTCTTTTTTTTATTTTAAGCCTTTTAATTTAACTTATTGACCCCAGTATTTTTGCTATATCCATTGCTAGGATCAAATCATTATACTTTTCAAAAGCATTCCTTTAACCTGAGGTCAAACTAATGTGAAATATGAGGAAGTTATAAATAGACTGAAATCTAGAACAACCATAACCCTGATGTACTTTATCTAAATTTTTATAACTTTGAAGTGCACTGAATACAGAAAGAATGCAGAGCTTTTATTTTCCAGTCAGAGAAACCACATACCAAAAAAGAATAAAAAACCATCTCTTTCTCATTTCTGTAGTCAACCTCTTAATCCAAAAAAAGAAAGTGGGGGAGGATTCAAGTCAATCCCACAAAAATAAACTGTTGCCATTGTTTATTGAGAAAATAATTCCTGGAGATTTTTTTCCCCCAAAGAACTAAAATAAAAGATCATAAAGAAGATCTCTGGCTTGGTTTATTTCCTAGAGGAGAAATTGTTTAACATTTGTTTGTTTTATAAACACTCCCGATAACGAGCAGACCCATAAAACTCCCCCCTCTTTTTTGTGCGGTGGGAAAGCAGCAGCAAGCTAAGTTTGGCCTGCAGTTGGAAGACGGTTTGCTATCTGGGATTGCCCAATCTTGTCCGGCTTCTAGAAGATTCCCAAGGTCCATGAACTGTGTCCAAGATGAATAACCCAAAGTCGGGGGTAGGACTGGATGAATGGAGTGAGACCAGACAATAGGAGACTTCGAAATCTAGGGAATGGAGTTTAGATTTCACCCTCTTCTTGGTAGATGGAGTCGATGACTCCGAATCTTCCATCCTCTCTGCTTCAACACCCTTCCATCGGCTCAGTGTGCATAGAGTAAACCCCTTGCTCCTTGACTTCAAGCTTGGCTATATGCCCATTGAAGGCCTAGGCCTTGGGAGGCCTCGCCTCTTTCCGGTTGCCCTTTGCACTGTTGCTGTCACTGTTAGACGAACAGGCCCCTGGCAAAGCAGACCGCACTGTGGAGAAGGAGAGACCCGTGGAGCCAAGCCTCCACCTGCAGTGAGAAACAAAGCTGCCACAGCCCAGATCGGCTGAACCTCAACAGACACACGCACATTTGCCAAGAGTAAATACCCATTGTTTTAAGCCCCTGAGTTTTGGGGTGCTCTGCTCTGTTGTATTATTGTGGTGATACAAATTGAAACTCACTTTAAGCAAGAAAGAATAATAAATTTTCTTTAAAAATATAACCGGTATGAGGCACCTGGGTGGCTTGGTGGTTAAGCGTCCAGTTCATTTCAATGACACAGATTTCTTCATACCTTTTCTGCTGTATACATTTCCAGCCAATATGTATATAGTTTCTAAATTGATGTTGTTTGAGTTGGGTTTTTGGTGCTTGAAACCAAGAGTCTTGAGTCAGCAGGTATTCAAGAAATAGTAGGTAATGGGGTTCAGTTGGAAGCGCATGTGACTCTTGATCTCAGGGTCATGAGTTTGAGCCCCACACTGGGTGCAGAGATTACTTAAAAATAAAATCTTAAGAAGAAGAAACAGGAGCTAAACCATGTTCAATAGAGAATTACCACTTAGAGCTTGCCTGATTTCAAATTCTGTGCTCTGTCCTGTAATGGCTTGAAGCCAAATGGCAGCAGGTCTGCCCTGCCACCTTTTTGTGTAAGTTTTATTGGAACACAGCCCTGCTCGTTCACTTAGGCATCATCATAGCTGCTACATGCTTTAACAGCAGAGTTGAGCTGGTGCCACAGAGAACATACGGCCTGCAAATCCGAAAATGCTAACTCTCTGGGCCCTTTACAGCAGAGTTTATTGATATCTTATCTAGAATACACAAGGAAATTAACCAAAAAAATGTCAGGAAACCAGCAGCAGAATGGGCCAAGGATATAAAAGGGAAAATATGAAGAAATGCTCAACTTCACTATTATTAGTCAAAGAGATGCAAATTATATGAGATTCCACTTTACACCCACAACATAGGAAGAATTAGAAAGTCAGGTGATAGAATCGTTGAGAAGGATGTAGGCAAATGGAAATTCTTGCGCAGTACAGACTGGATTGTAGAATGTGCAGTGTTCTGGGAGAAGCTGAGCAGGACTTAGTAAAATCCCTGTGTGGTATGCCCAGCAATCCCACTCCTGGGTGCAGCTCTGCGAATCTTTGATCTGGTGTGTGGAGAACGTGCCCAAGGATGCTCATCCTGGCCATTTGCGGAAGTGGGCTGTCGGAGTCCGCCTGGTAATATTCAAAAGAAGGGGCAATCAGATGTCCTGGGTGTGGCCTGCAGAGGGCTATGCATCAGCTAGTAGTGAACAAGATGTCCGTGGAGCTGCGTGGGTAGATCATCCTGTAGAGGAGAGAAAAACAGAACAGACTGAGACCCGTAACTCAACACTGTATGTATGTACAATTGTGTATATATATATTGATGTATATGTATTATATATATAACATATATATAATACATATACAAAACAATTCTATGTGTTTTAAAAAATTACGTGCCTATGTACATATCCAAGGACACACACCAAACAGATTACATTGGATGGGGTAGAGTGGGCATGGGAGTAAGGTTTGGAAACTAACAGAAAAATAAGAGAAGGGCCTTACATAGACAGACGACAATGATGGAATTAGCTAAATTCTGTGTATCTGAATTCCAAACACATGGATGTGCACTCACAGTTAAATCAGAGAAAGTGGTGGTAGCTACTAGACTGGAGTCAAATTGGGTGGGTTGCTAGGATGAGAGATGGCTTGAGAATTCTCCAGGGAGCGTTATCACTGCAGTTCTAACACGAACAACCCTTCACAGGTGAAAATATTTACCTCTATTGGCTCTTCCATTGCAGTATATCCCATTTGTGCCAGTTATCAATGTATTTCCTTAGAGCTCCAAATCCATCCTTCTTTGTCCCGCTATGTGATGCTGAGGCTGGGCCCTGGAAACCTTTCTCCTGCCACCTGTCACAAATGAGAAATTTTACCTGCAGCAGGCCCTGGGGGGTTGGTGGAGGGGGGAGAGAGACACTGCATGCGGAAAGGGCTTTTTGCCCTGGTTCCAGTGTCTTTGGTCTTGTTCCTGCAGCACAGAATGCAAGCTGGTGCAGCCTCTCTGGAAAACAGTATGGAGGTTCCTCAAAAAGTTGAAAATAGAGCTACCCTAAGACCCAGCAATTGCACTACTGGGTATTTACCCCAAAGATACAAATGTAATGATTCGAAGGGGCACCAGTACCCCAATGTTTATAGAGCAATGTCCACAATAGCCAAACTATGGGAAGAGCCCAGATGTCCATCGACAGATGAATAGATAAAGAAGATGTGGTATATATATACAATGGAATACTACTCAACCATCAAAAAAATGAAATCTTGCCATTTGTGATGATGTTGGTGGAACTACAGGGTATTATGCTAAGTGAAATAAGTCAATCAGAGAAAGACAATTATCATATGGTTTCACTAATGTGGAATTTAAGAAACAAAACAGGATCATAGGGGAAGAGAGGAAAAGATAAGACAAAATCAGAGAGGGAGACAAACCATAAGAGACTCCTTTTTTTTTATTTAAAGATTTTATTTATTTGACAGAGAGAGACACAGCGAGAGAGGGAACACAGCAGGGGGAGTGGGAGAGGGAGAAGCAGGCTTCCCTCGGAGCAGGGAGCCTGATGCGGGGCTCGATCCCAGGTCCCTGGGATCATGACCTGAGCCGAAGGCAGATGCTCAATGACTGAGCCACCCAGGCGCTGCACCATAAGAGACTCTTAATCATAGGAAACAAACTGAGGATTGCTGGAAGGGAGGGAGGTGGGGGATGGGGTCTGGGTGATGGACATTAAGGAGGGCACGTGATGTAATGAGCACTGGCTGTTATATAAGACTGATTAATCACTGAAGTCTACCTCTGAAACCAATAATACATTATGTTAATTAATTGAATTTAAATTTTAAAACATATAAAAATAATTTTTTTTTTAAGATTTTATTTATTTATATGACAGAGAGACACAGCGAGAGAGGGAACACAAGCAGGGGGAGCGGGAGAGGGAGAAGCAGGCTTCCCGCGGAGCAGGGAGCCCGATGTGGGGCTCGATCCCAGGACCCTGGGACCATGACCTGAGCCGAAGGCAGATGCATAACGACTGAGCCACCCAGGCGCCCCTAAAAAATAAATTTTTAAAAATACATACATAGGGCGCCTGGGTGGCTCAGATGGTTAAGCGTCTGCCTTCGGCTCAGGTCATGATCCCGGGGTCCTGGGATCGAGTCCCGCATCAGGCTCCCAGCTCAGCCGGGGAGCCTGCTTCTCCCTCTGACCCTCTCCCCTCTCATGCTGTTTCTCTCTCGCTCACTCTCTAAAAAATAAATAAAATCTTAAAAAAAAAAAATACATACATAAATAAATTTTCTCTGTTCAAATTACTGGCATGGATTCTGTCTCCTGATTGGACCATCCTCACAGTAAAACAACAAACAATAACATAACACAAGGCTTTCCCCACTTCTTACTCTTCACAGCTGACCCTCATTGTCTCCTTTGCCAGTCTTCTTAATTCATTGCAATCAGACTCTCCCGAATGAAATAGAAGTTTTATTGACAAATTTCTAATTGCCCAAAGAGGCACCTTTCAGAGGTTTTCTCCCTTAATCACTTCCTCCAGAAAACATTCTTTTCCCTGGTATCACTACCATGTTTCAGACCATATCCTTGAGGCCAATATAGTTCATATACCATAGTAAGAGCAACAATATTGGAATTGGACAAAACCGCCCTGAAACCTCAGCTCTGTCATTTATAAAGCTGCTTGATCCTGATTTTTGCGAACCTCAGTCAGCCTTCTCATCTGTAAATTGGGGACAATAATGATAATATCTGGTTTGCAAGAGTTTTAAAGAATAAATAAGGTAATCTATGTAAAGCATCAAAACATAGAGCCTGGTAAACAGGAGGTGCTCAGCAATGCTAGTTCCTATATCCCAATGGCCCTCCATCTACCCCTTAGTAGCTGTGAGTGACCCTGGGCTTCCGTTTCTCTTTCTTTCTATCATCGTTCCTGGACAACGTTACCACGCATGAGGCTTTAACTACCATCTGCTTACACAGTCATGACTTTAAGATCTATATTTTCTTCCTAGGCCTCTCTCCTAACCCAGAGAGGGGTCTGATGTCGCCTGAGTGCCTACTTCACCCAGAATCTCTCTGTGTACCCCGCAACATTAAGCAGGTTCTCGCCTGTACCCGCGTGTGTCCTGGCCACCCCTGACTGACCAGAGACCGGTGCCCACGTGATAGCTGCCACCTCTGGACCGGCTGTAGCAATTCTCCACCCAAATGGGAAAGCTCTATGCTGACACAGTGACACTGGAGACCCAATCGGATGTCTCTGGGGGCTCTTTGAGACAGAGGAACTCCACATTGGCAGCCAGCCTGAAAGAAAGCAGCAAAAAAGGCAATGTGCAGATCCCTCATGGCAATAACACCTAAGGGTAGGTGGTGGCATCGAGGAGAAGCAGCAATAGTCACGGACGAGGCAGAGATGTAGGAAGCTCTGTCATATGCAAGTGGAGTTCCTAGAGCCAGTAGCAAAGGACACCCGATGTTGGACCGCTGGAGTGGCTGGGAGTCACTGCTTGTCATGAAGAACATTCCAAGATTCCATGGAGCCTAGACACTGAGATGATTTCCTGTCTTGCTTCTTTTTGTTTCTGTCCCTCCCTCTCTCTCTCTCTCAGAAATACCCTCATAGTTTTTTCCTGATTGTTGTAGTAAGAGATGCGCATTCTCTTTGTTTCTTTACAATCAATGCTGCCACCTGAAAAAATCTGAAAAGGATCTTTGCTTACAACCTGAAGGAGCTTAACTAACATCCCAGCGGAGCTTCCGACTCATGTGGATCCACCTACGGAACTGACCATAGCTCACGCTTTCCCGGATGCCCGCTGAAGGCTGCGGGAGTGCAGGTGTGCGCGCATGCGTACATACTCACACACAAGCAGGGGCATAAAGGAGGAATGAGCGAGGCGAGGACGTGGGAAAGCAGAGGCCGAGAAGGCCAGCCAGCGCCTTAAGACAATGCCTTGCCACAGATGTCAATAGATTCAAGTTTTGGTTCTCAAACGTTAGTGGGCATCAGAATCCCCTCGATGGCTTGTTGAAACTCAGATTGCTGGACCGCACTGGCAGAGTTTCTGATCCAGGGCGTCTGGAATGGGGGCCTTAAGAACCTGCATTTCTAACAAGTTCTCAGGTGGTGCTGAGGGTGCCGGTCTGGGAACCACACTGAGAGCCGAGAGTTTCAAGGAGTGAGTGGCTAAGACAATTCAAACCTCCGAGGCTTGGCATGAAGTAATGGACAGATTGAAAAATTTCTATGTTGTCAGTCTCAATTTCCAGAGCATAGCAGATTTTGCGGCTTCCTGTCTTGTGAAAAACATTAAAAAAAAAAAAAACCAAACCAAAACCAAACCCACAAAAAAACCCCAAAACCAAAACCCCCAAACCAAAACAACCCAAAACCCAAAAAACAAAAAAAAAACCCAACCCCGTTCCTGTCCCCTGGAGTACCCCATTGTCAACAGTGGCAGGTGGCGTGGGTGACTCTTCTTCATTAAAGCTGTCATCACACTGCCCCAGCACCCAACCCTGACTGGGACGGTCAGAGCAGGTCAGAGACAGTTAATGGGTTAATTGGCATCTCTCTCCCTTGGAATCCTGCACTTTCAGCTGCAGCCCTCAGGTCAAAGGCATTCAGATGCAATAAAGGCAATCTGTGGTCTGAATCCACATTTCAATAGAACAGAAACTCGAAATAATCAGAATCCCTTCCAAGGGTGGTTAAGAGAGTCACCTGAAAACAGCTATTATGTGTCCATCATTTGGTGAAAGTCAAACTGGGCCCGAGGAAGTGACGGCTCCAGAGCTCCCTCAGATGGATATTTTAATTTCAATTCTGTCCCCACTTGAGAGCGCATTTCCTTACTGAATAGGGGACATTACTGGTTGCCTACCGGATGAGTGTCCTAGGGCCGCCGGAAAAGATGCCCACAAACCAGGAGGCCAAGCAGCAGCAATGTTTGTTCTCTCGTAGTTCTGGAGGCTACAAGTCTGAGAGCAAGGCGTCAGCAGCAGCCCCCCCCCCACCCCCCCACCCCCCCACTCCCCCTCCCCCCAGCCCCAGACCTGTAGGGGAGAACCCTTTCTTCCTCTCCCTGCTTCTGGTGCCCGGCTGGCCATCTTGGGGCTCCTTGGATTGCAGCCACGTCTCACTGCAGCTTCTGCCCCTTACCACCCACTTCCCCCGTGTGTCTCTCTCTTCTCTTCTGGTAAGGACACTAGTCATATTGGATCAGGGCCCGCCCTACTCCAGTAGGACCTCAGCTTAGCTAATTGTATCTGCAACAACCCTAGTTCCAAATAAGGTCACATTCTGAGGTATGAGGCTTAGGGCTTTGACTTACCTTTTTTTGTTTGACTTTTTTTTTTTTTTTAAAGTAGGCTCCGCACCCAACGTGGGGCTTGAACTCACAATCCCAAGATCCAGAGTCACACGTTCTGCAGGCTAAGCCAGCCAGGTGCCCCCTGACTTACCTATTTTTGAAAGACACAATTAACCCGTAACATCTACCCAGGTCCTTCTACTCTTTTCTCCTTCCTAATCAAACCCAGATTTTCCCAAAAGCATATTAACTGACATACGTATGAGTAAAAATATCCAAGCCGGGACTGGGAAGACCTAGCCTATATGGCATGACTTGTCCCAACAAGTCATTTCTTGTGCCCAACAAGATATGCTTGAGGTAACTCATAAATACGCTCTGATAGAGCTTATAACAATGGGGAATCGGGGCAAAGCAACAAGCTTTTAAAAGATGGGGACAGGGGCGCCTGGGTGGCTCAGTCGTTGAGCTTCTGCTTTCGGCTTAGGTCGTGATCCCAGGGTCCTGGGATCGAGCCCCACATCAGGCTCCCTGCTTGGCGGGAAGCCTGCTTCTCTCTCTCCCACTCCCCCTGCTTGTGTTCCCTCTCTCGCTGTGTCTCTCTGTCAAATAAATAAATAAAATCTTAAAAAAAAAAAAAAAGATGGGGACATTAGAATGCCATGCACAATCATGGCTAATTATCTGCTTTTCTGGCTGTTACCCCATTAGATCGAGAAGGGTGGCTATTTATTTATTTATTGAATCTATCTTATATCTTACCATAAAGCCTAACATATAATAGGCACTCAATTTAATAAATGTTTTAGATATTATAAAAATGTTAATTTTCCTATTCATTTTCTTCTCCATTGTGAGCTGTCATCTGCCTGTACCACAGAATGAGCAAGGAAGGCTCATACTACAGGAGCTGATACTGGTTTTCTCAGCTGGGCACCAAGGAAGTGGACACACAGTTTAAGGGTGATCAAGCTGGAACCATATTCAGGGTTTGGCCACAAGTAGGTTAAATAAGACAAAATGGCAAACGCTGAGGCAGAACGTGCTGGATTGTTGGCAGAGTCTGTGTTCCCCTTGCACACCAAATCATAATGGGCCCCCAGGAATGTAAACATGGATGAAGTGGGGGCTCAGGTGGCCTTGCAAGGGGTCAGCTAATGGGGTGATTGCAGCTCCGCTCAGGAAAGACAAGCTGGAGCAGACCCACAGAGGTTTGAGTTCAGGTTCAGTCAGGGATTTAGTGACAGATTCCTTCCCACGCACGCCAGGCCCACAGAGCTGGATTAGAACTCAGGAGAGCCCCATGGACCCACTTATACACTGCAAAATAGGCAGGCCAGAAGAACTGTCAGAGATTTGGAAATGGGCAAAAAAGACTATTAGTATTCTCCCAATGAAATGCTGGGGTGTTGTCGCCCAGACTGGCCAGGCGTACCGGATCCTATAATGGTGTGTGCACATTTGATAGTCTTTGATTGGCCTATTTTACAACCCTGTAGAGGTATTAGTAAACTTGGAGAAAACTGAGTCACGCAAATGTTTCCCGTCTCTAGTGATGCCAAGGAGTCCTGTTCATAGTGATGCAAATTACATTAGTCCAGTAGGGAATCTAAATCCCTGGAAGTCTAAATCTTACTTGATCTGGTTTTAACATCTTAGTGGGTCTGTCTTAAATTAATGAGTTAAATAGAATCTTTCACATGCAAGCATGTTATAGTCTATAGAAGAGTCAGGATTTTTTTTTTTTTTTTAAGATTTATTTATTTATTTATTTGACAGAGAGAGAGACATAGCGAGAGCAGGAACACAAGCAGGGGGCATGGGAGAGGGAGAAGCAGGCTTCCTGCTGAGCAGGGAGCCCGATGTGGGACTCGATCCCGGGACCCTGGGATCATGACCTGAGCCTAAGGCAGATGCTTAACGACTGAGCCACCCAGGCGCCCCCTAAGTCAGGATTTTTTTTTTACCTTTCAGAATCTGATTCTTCGACAGGCAAAGAGGAGTGAAGTGAGACAGGCATGGGCATCCGAAGGCTCAGAGACACAGGCAGCTATGGAGAACATCAAGCCAGGGTTGGGGAAGGATGAGGAAGCAGCCTCTGGACGTGTGTGGGGGGAGAATTCAAAAGAGGTGAACTCGGTCATTGGATCTTTCCAATTCTCTTCTCCTCACCTCCTAACACGCTTAACTTCCCTCCCCTTGCTGACTTGAGGCTATATATAGAGAGACCCCCAGGGTCTGGACTCGGCCCCACCACTGCAAGATCCAAAATGCCTTCTTCCATTCCCAGCAAGACCTTCTCCCCAGCTAAGAGGATGAAACCGAGTGAAACTCCTTAAGGGCATTTTTTCTCTCCCTTTTGAAAAAAAAATTCTTTAAAAATATTAACTTTTAGATTTATGCTAAATGTATAAAACTGTGGTGGAAATACAACATAGTAATTGTCACCTTAAGTGTGCAGTTGAGCGGCATTGAATACATTCATAATATTGTATAACCATTACCACTATCTGTATCTGAAATTTTTCATCGACCCAAACATGAACTCTGTGCTCATTGAACAGTATCTCCCACCTACTCTATTTTCTGTCTCTATGAATTTTTTTTAAAGATTTTACTTATTTATTTGAGAGAGAGAGAGTGAGCAGGAGCAGGGGAAGAGTAGAGGGAGAGAGAGAAACAGACTCCCCACTGAGCAGGGAGCCTGATGCGGGACTTGATCCCAGGAGCCCGGGATCATGACCTGAGCCGAAGGCAGGTGCTTAACTGACTGAGCCACCCAGGCGCCCCCGTCTCTATGAAATACGAGGTACTCTGGGTACCTCGTATCAGTGGAATGGTACAACATGTGTACTTCTGTGATGGGCTTATTTCACTGAGCATGACGTTTTCAAGGTCCATCTGTGTTGTAACACGTCAGAATTCCATTCCTTTTTAAGGCTGAATAATATCCCATTGTCTCTACATTCACCTTGGTTTATCCATTCATCTGTTGATGGTCATTTGGATTGTTCCCACCTTTTGGCTGTTGTGAACAATGCTATGAATATTTTTCTCTTCTTTTTGAGTGAGCCTGATTAGAATAAGCATAACACAATCTCTCGTTGGGGCAGGGTGTGCAGTTTGGAGAATGGACATTCTACTTTGCCCTGCCTGCCTCTTCCCAGAAACTAGGATCAGCAACCTGCTCCTGCTGCTGAAAGACCGCCACCCTCTAGCACGCTTCTCTGCAGAATATGCCAAGGACTTTTTGTTACGTCCCGTCTGTCTCTATCCTAATCCTGGCTTCTGAGTTTGCCGTTGCTGCCGACCACGGGCTGGGGGCTTCAGCAACACAAAGTTCTTTCTCACAGTTCTGGAGGCTGGAAGTCCAAGATCAAGGTGTTGGCAGGTTTAGTTTCTCCTGACTCCTCTCTCTTCTTCCTGTGTGTTCACATCATCTTCCCCCATGTGTGTCTGTGTCCTCATCTCTTCTTATAAGGACACTGGTCATATTGCATCAAGGTGCACCCATATGACCTCATTTTAACTTAACTACCCCTTTAAAAGCCCTATGTCCAAATATAGTCACATTCTGAGGTACTGGGGGTCACGACTTCAACATAGGAATTTTAGGGAGACGATTCAGCCCCTAAGAGCTGGTAACAAGATTGACAGCATACCACTCTCACAGACCCTGAAAGCTATGAGTCTATTTGTTTGATGAAACTCAGTTTATGAAATAGGTGCTCATTTATACTGATAGAGCCTGGAATCTGTTTAGTGGACACAAACCAATTAAGACTAGACTAAAACGGCAGAAATCCCCCGGAGGAAATTGCATTAGCTCATTAAATACATACTAGAGCAGGACTTTCTGGCTGCTTCCTGAGAAGAATGTCATTTTCCCTAAGTGGGTGGTGGGGCTTATGGGGTGCTGTCAGTGATGGGGGCAGGGAGGGGCTGGTTGTGGGCACTGTGGGTGACTTTGGCTAAATTGCTTAACTGACCTGGGTCTCAGCTTCCTCTTCCGTGAGGGGGAGGGGGCTCAAAGTTTCCAGTGGTCTTTGGGTCCTTGCTACTTGAACACAGCCCAGGAACAAAGAATATCACATTACGTGGAGCTGGTGAGACATGGAGAATCTCTGGACCCTTCCCAGGCCCAGTGGATCAGAATCTGCATCTTAAGATCTTCAGTTGATTCACAAGCACGTGGAAGTTTGAGAAGCACTGATTTAAGACTCACTGGGTCAGGGGCGCCTGGGTGGCTCAGTCGTTAAGCGTCTGCCTTCGGCTCAGGTCATGATCCCAGGGTCCTGGGATCGAGCCCCGCATCGGGCTCCCTGCTCAGCAGGGAGTCTGCTTCTCCTTCTCCCACTCCCCCTGCTTGTGTTCCCTCTCTCGCGCGCTCTCTCTCTCTGTCAAATAAAGAAATAAAATCTTACAAAAAAAAAAAAAAAGACTCACTGGGTCTGGTGGTCATGGAGGGAGACCAAGGAGCCAGTCAGTATGAAACTTAAAATTTCCTCCTCTCAGAGAGCAGGTTGGAGGGAAAATGTCCCACTTCTTAGCAACCGTAAATACACACAGGAAAGACTCCCTTCTTGCAGACAATCCCCTCCCCACCCCATTCAGAGCAGAAAACAAGGATTCAAAAAACTGGGCAAGGTGAACACAGGATCTCTCCGTCATTTCTT